GTGAATTTTTCCCTGCCCAGACCTGTGATTCATGTCAAAGGAACTGAGATTTTTCTCCAGTTTGAAAGTGGGACCTGAGAAGGTGGTTGTTTTCTAGGTCAGATCTCTGTCAATCCTTCAGGATTGTAGGGTGGTATTTGTACATCACTGATAGATATATTGTCCTGGTACAATGCAATACACACCTTTATAGACATGATGAGAATTGTTTATTGGTATTCTTCAAAACCTGATTAAGTCCCTCATTTAGATATTCCTGATGGCAGTGGAACAAGTTACTAGACCTTATGACACTTCCTTCCCTAAGCTTTTCTTCAACTTACTTCCCTGATTAAATAAATTAGTTTTAAATGCTAGGTTGACTGAGAAGGTGCTCCTCAGTGGGGCTTCTGGAATATCTATGAAGTTTAAAGTAAAGTTAGTGCATATTTCCCAGTAAAACAATTAAATAAACAAATATATGATTATTTCTGCAACATCTAAGCAGTTCCTACCCTCTTCTGCTTATTCCCATTCCATGCTTTGCTTTTTCTTTATGCAAGCATTTCCAATTAACTTTTTCTCAAGCTGAGATGCAAACTGGATCATTGAAGCATTCCAATCAGAGAAACTCAGGTTTTTCTGTGTGGGAGAGTAGGATTTTGTTTTTTACCCCAGCCCATTTAATCAGTCCTGTTCACAGCCTGGCCAAACAAACAATTGCACCACTGCAAGCAAGGGCATGGCAAAGGATGACAACAAGAAACTAGGGAGGGTAACGTGGAAAAAGGAACTTTTTGAGCTGCTTTTGTTTTTCTTTCCACCACAGCCCAGCCAGCTGAGCACCCACCGTTGCACCTAGTTTGTGCCCATGAGGAGAGTAGTAGGTAGGATTCAAGTAAATGTCTGCACCCCTTAACAACCCTCACTACAAGCCCCCATTCTTGCATCCATATGAATTTCCCCATATAATTACCTCAGCATAACCAACAGAGGCATCTGGAAGCAGAGCACCTTGTTAAATTATTGATTACTTGACTAACACAATTTTTGCCTTCATTTATGTGGTTCCCTTCGTAACATTTTTCCAGACCTGAATATGCAGGGCTCCTTCACCTGTGCTTTTGGGCGCTACTCTTGCCTCTGTCCAAGTCTGACATGAATTTCATTCACTTCAAGCAGACTGTCAGGGTTCGGGTTCAAATTCTTTACACATGGCTTATCAGGTATTTTCTCTCACTTTCTGGACAATGACTCTGTCAAATGTAGTGTAAGTAAAAGACTAATAAGAAAATGGGTTCAGCTTTGAACCATTTCTATAAACATACAATAAATGCTGGGGTCAGCCTGGACTTTGTACTGATTTAACTACTTCAGATTTATTTGACACCAATAACATTAAGTTGATGCAATGCTCTGGCATGAAACTATTTGCTAAAATGCTACTAGCAATATAATTTATTCTGCTGTGTTTACAAAATTCATGGACAATCAGGATTTTACAGCAACATAACTGCATTTATACAGTACTGCTGCTTTGTTTATATTATATTAATTTTAAATGAACAGTGATAAAATAGAATTCAGTGTTTACAAGTTTGACACCCATTAAACTGCCTTTTTTCTCACTTTGTTTTCCTCTTATATTTTTTTCTAACTCGCTTTATTGTTGTGCAACTGTCTGAACAAAGTATGTATTTAGCAATATTTTTTGTCCTTTTGACTAAGTATGATTCTCCTTCTTGTTCTGAATGAAGGAATGCTAAAAGAGATTAATGAAAATGTGTTCTACTTACCTAAAAAAATCTCTTTTTTGGGAAACTGTTCTGCTTTACTTGCTAAGCTGTTTATATTTTTTGATTGCTCCAGTAATAATGTGTTTTGTATTGAGAACAGAAGGCAGTTTTCCCCCAGAGTGCTCAGAGACATTTTCTCCAGCCAGAATCCCCATTCCCATCACCTGCATCAGGTGCAGGTTAACCCTGGTGGGACTCAGGTGATACTCCCCTCCCTTTTCTTGGCAGTGGCTTCTCCCTGTGCTGCCAGCCTGCCACCAAGCATCGTGTCCTTTTGGCAGCCACCCCTGCAACCTCCGGAAGCTCCCTGGCTCCATTTCCTCATTCCAGCTGGCCACTGAGGCACTGTGGCCAGTGTGTTAGCAGTGCTTGTGCTGGTGTGTGCTTATGCTGCTGGATACAGAAGCTTGTTCCTGCCCTTCCCTGGTTAAGGTGTCTTTGCTTTCGCGTAGGGTGGGGCTGTAGCTGGCACAATCCAAAGCAGTCTTATGGTTACTCTACATCTAGAGCACTTCACTTATGTTCTGAGGACAAAACACACAGGCAATAACACTCTTTGAATTTATCTGTTGGCAAGTTCCCTACCCATTACTCTCCTCACTCTTTGATTCGGCAAGCAATCATCTATAAACTTCCTAGGAAGTCCCTCTTTAGAAGCAGTAGGTTTCTGCAGCACGGGTGAAGAAAACAAGTCCTTGTTGAATCCACTAGACCACTCCAATATCTGAGGGTGCGAGGTACAACAGTACCAGAAAACTAGTGTAAAGTTTGTATCTTACCAAAGTCTCTTTCTTTCCTGGTTCTTCATTTGATCTATCACCTTCTCCACCAGGCTTCAGATGAAGTCAAAGAATCACAGGACTGCTGAGGTTGGAAGGGACCTCTGGGGATCATTTGTCCAATCCCCTGCTACAGCAGACACACCCAGAGCTGCACACCTGGGACTGTGTCCAGATAGCTTTTGAATATCTCCAAGGATAGAGACTAACAGCTGCTGGGAAACCTGTTGCTGCTCAGTCACCTACACAGTAAAAAAATGTTCTGATGTTCATTGAGAACCTCCTGTGGTTCAGGCTATGCTCATTGCCTCCAGCCATGTCACTGGGCATCCCTGAGCAGAGCCTGGCTCTGTCTTCTTTGCATCCTCCCTGCAGGTATTTATATACATGGATGGGATCCTCCTGAGCTGTACAGTCTCAGCTCTATAAGCTTGTCCTCAGAGGAGAGATATTCTAGGTCCTTCAACTTTTTTGGAGCCCATTTCTGAGGTTACTCCAGTATGTCCATGGCTCTTGAGTAGTGATGCCTCTGGCATTGCCCTCCACATGATTTGCAAAGTTTAGAAGTCCTCTCTGCTCTTTAACAGATATCTTTGAGCATATTAAAACTGTCTACTTTTTTTTTTTTTTTTTTTTTTATGTTAAGGTCCACTTAAAAAAATACTAGTAATCAGCACTCCATTTTATTTATTAATATTGTTGTTTTTAAAATTCTCATGTCCCTTCATGCTCTCAGCATCACCTTTTCTAATACAATCCATGTTTCCAACTGTGTAATTTGATCTTTGCTTTAAGATAATTTTTCATCTGTTGCTTATTTGGCTTTATTTCTTCTTGACCAGGTTTCACAGCTTCAGATTCTGTGTTGGCAGTTTCTTGGCCAGTTTTCCTTTCCTGTTGACCAGATATAATCTCTGCCAGTATGGATGCTAAGTCCTCTATTGCTGGCCAAGCAAGAATCAATCATGCTCGATCTTACTAATATAAGATTACACTTAATAGAAATGTAATCCTCTTGGGAATTAACATCTGCCCTAACATAAACTTTGTCACATTTTATGAATGCTTATGAATATTAATTAATTATTCTAGCCCACTTACATGCATGTTTGTAAATAGACAGCTATTAGGACAATTAAAATAGCAAGACGAGTAGCAAAATGGCTTCAGTCTAACAACTATATAAATAAATATATATATATAAGAATACTACTTCTGCCTATGTTTCTCAGGACAGGCCGTTTTTACAACTCCGTACGCATGTGGACCTACTTTCCAGCTATTCTTGTTTCACATCTATATTGCAGAATCACTGCAGAGCCACAGGCAGGATGAACCCCATTGTCCTCTCGACCATTCAAGCTTAGCACAAATGCACGATCTAGTGATGAGAGCTTTCACACAGCCAATTCTGAGTGCCCAGAAGTTCAGCTCAGCTTTTTCATCCTGAACAATGGGGAAGCAAGGAGGATAGCCTAATATTTCATCCTCTGTTTTGCCTACGTAGTCTTTGTCCACCAGTGTTCTGTGGCATTAAAGGTGAACCTCTTTTATGCAATAGCTATCAAAAAGCCTTCCTCCTCTAGATAAGGCAATGATGAGTTAGAGTCACTGTTTGCTGTTATCCTGATATGCTTTTCAAATGAAGATGCTTCTTCTATGATCTATATAACTTGTTCTGCTCCTTCTGTGTCTTCCCACACCATGGCACACAATCTCTAGGTTAAACACAGGACAAAATTCTAAAAATTTTGTCCTGTCTCCTAGGCATGCCCCCCCCCCACCCCCCCCCTTCAAGCTCTTCTTGTACTTTTTTTCGCTGCTCATAGTCAAACCAGTTATTGAAATGTTTTTGTTTGTTTTTTTGGTGTTTCCCTCCCTCACCTTCAGTTGATGTTTGTAAAGCATTTAACACTACACCAGGCGGGTTAATTTACTGCACTGGTAAAACAGCCTATTTGGAGTGTCTTGCAACACTGACATGTTTTCAGCTTGAAAATCAGATGTCTCCATCCCAAAGGAAAGAATTCTTGCCAAAGCTTTGTTTATATCGATGCCAGGTGCAATCTGGCCCAACAGTGGTAATGACATATGAACACTAAACAGTTTGTAAAAAACATACTTCAAAATGAAATCTGAATCCTGTATATAAAGACCCAGGTAAAGGTCTTACTAGGAATTTGCCTGGTGTAGAAAAGTATTTCTTTGTAGAAACATTAATTTGGCTTCTGGGCTCCCTTTAGTGTTATTAGTGGCCTCTGATTTCAGTTTTTTCATTACAGTTTGTTTTTCTTTTGCTTCTGGTAGAGCTTTCAAAGCCAAAGGTTTATTGTGTAAAAACATTTTAACAAAAATTACTGTAATTACTGTATTTAATATTTTATTTTGTACATGGCTCTTGCATGTATGATTAGGAAAATAAACCTTTTCTTTTTTTGCTTCACAGAGAGCCACCCTGACCTGGTGAAAATTAGAAATACTGCAATGCAAAGAGAACTGCAGCACCTCTTGAAAGGGAATTGCCAGAATTTAATTGCATCCTCCTCTTCTTAAACAAGTTTAAAATAGGCTTTCATACCTAGAGGCGATTTTTTGGTTATTGGTAAGTTAAACCTGTGTAAGAGTCCTGACCCCTAGATGAAGTAACTCCCTGCCCATAGTGTGAAAGCATAAGAAACCCCGGTAGGCTGCAAATTGCATATGTTTGTCTCATCTCTGCGATGGTCACGTCCTTTGCAAACTTAAACAGATAAAACTGTGGAAAACAGAGGTGGGTAGACACACTGAAACGTTTTTAAAATGTACTCAAATTTTGTTTGCAAATCTGTATTAAATTGACACACCTACTAAATCAGCGGCCATTTAAATGAAGATCTGGACCTAAAAAAAATCAATGACATTTATGTAGTGATCAGATTCTTCTCTCTTCAGAGGGTCAGCGTTAAAACTAAATGCTCATTGCTGCTGTCAGTATGTGTGCTGCTGTAAGGAAGGTGCCCAGTGTGATCTACATATCCTATAGGCACAGAGCAAATCGCTTCCTCAAAGAGTAAACCAAACAAAAGCCAGAGAACAACAGCAATAAGAGACTATTTGATAAAAAGCTATTCATGTGCAGAACCCATTACCTCACCACATACCTAAGAGTGAGCCAGTGGCTTTGGGTTTTGTCTTAAGAAGAAGCTGAGGGAAATTTTCAGGATGCTTTTCCCATGTGTTTGAAGTAAAATCAGGAGATCAGTATGCCTTTAAAATGAGAGCTAAGCCTCTTAATACTTTAACTCAAACTTCACAAATCATGATTTTTGAATCAGTGCCTCAGCAGAAAAGGAAAGACCCAGATTTGCAGATGGCAAGTTGCTTGCTGCAATCTGAAAGGGTCTATACTATAATGGCAAAAAATATGACTATATACACTTTCTTCCTCTGTCCATCTGCCACTGTTATAGTCTAGTGTGGGGGTGATTTTATTTAAATTTGGACTGTTTGCAGGCTGATTTCTCATTTCTGCAATCATGAGGTTTGTAACAAAAAGAGTAAATAGATTAAAAAAAAAAATCCCAACTGCTGCCTTAGTGCTGTGTGACTTAAATAGGGAAATCATTGCTATAGACTGCCACAGAAGAACTCTGCATACATCTGCTGCTGGTCAGCATGGTATCTCATCCAGTGACTGTATATGTTCATATGTATGTGGAAAGAATCTTTGGGACTCTTCTCACTTCTTACAAGTACTTTCTGAAATGGAAGATGCAGAATCTTCTGGTGGTAATGACCAGGCATACCAAGAAAAATAGAAGTATATTAATAATAGAAAATGAGTAATGCAAATAGATATCTAATTTATTAATATTTAAAGGTCATAGGGAGAGTCATCTTGTTTTACTCACTTATTATTCTCCTTCATCCAAGGAAATGACACAGTAGATGCCCTGTGAGCTAGTTTCCCCCACACTCATAAGAAAAAAGGTCAATGGACAGAGGTATGTATTTATCAAGACACAGAGACATTGAAAAGCTGTCAGGAACCATGACTGCAAGGCATCAGCTCATTCACCTTTCCCCCTGATCAAGACTTGCCACAAAGAGGACATACAGATGGATTTTTGTTTTCTTGTTTTTCAGAGGAAGTGTATTTGCCTAGAAAAAGCCTTTGTGCTTTTACTCATCAGGCCCTCATGATTGCAGGGTGGATCTTCCTCCTGGAGTGGCGGTCCTCATGGACAAATCCCCCAGCCCAGAACGGTCCCCTGTGCTTTCCCCATGCCCTTGGCTCCCAGTGGCACTGGCACACCAGGACGGTGTCCCGGGGCTCTGCAGAGGGGGCTCTGGCCCCAGCACATCCTGCTCCCCAGAAGGCAAGCTGGTGACTGCAGGGAACAGAAACAGCTGTCCAAAACTGCCAGCTCTGCCAGGCTGATGGCAAAGGAATTGCTTCAAACAAGGGAAATTGATATGTTGATATGTTGCATTTTTAAAATGGCCTGTGATGTTACATGATAAGCTGTTTTAGGGCTTGTAGGTCATTAGCTCAGCGCATCTGAAAAAATAATATCTGAAGACAGACTTCTAAAGGATTCACTTTAAATAGCTTATTCTGTGAGAATGAAAAAACATCAAACCAAAACTATTGCTGAACACTCCTGTTTCTTTCGCACTGCAGAAGTGTCAGTGTGCAAGATGGGAAATCATGCCCACTGGGACAGTAGATATTTTGAATCTGTGTTTTTTTGCAAGATGGAAGAAAACAAAGCAGCTGCCCACAAGGTTTCATCTTGCTCTGAGTCCCATGGCAACTCCACCAGTGAAGAGGGGAGATTTATTTGGCCCATTGCTTAGCAGTACCTTGCAAAGTATACATGGAGGTATCAGTCATCTTCTTGGTCTAAATACTAATGAAATTTAGCCACCTTTTGGATGGCCCACCTTATATATTTTTTCACTTTCTTTCTTCTTTTTCCTTCTAAATTTAAAAGGAACTTTGATTTTTTTTAGTGTTTACATTCAATATTTATCTCCATTAAGATGGTATTGATATAATTTTGCGTGCATGTTGTTCTAAAGTCACTGAAAACAGTGGTAAAGAGCACTGAAGAACATTGTTTGCCATGAATCTGAAAATTTATAAACATTAATATATTTGTTTAATATAAGAAAATGAATAGGCAGGACACATTTTGTTGCACAGTTCTGAAATTTGTCTCTTTGTCTAATGCCAATGTAAAAAATAAAAGGGTTTTAAGCTATGCAAAGTTTAAGCTATCCAGCATCTTTGTCACTTATTTCACATCAAGTGGGTATAGAATGTAATGATTGTGATAAGGAGGCTTTTCACATCCATTTCTACCAGTAGTAACCCAAGACGCAGAGGGGGGTAAAGAACAAGGGTCATATTTATAATCTGGAATGCTACAAAATGTATCTCTTCAAGTTTTCAGCTGAACTGAGATATTTATCTTAACAAGATCTAATTAGACCTAATTTCCATAGCATATCAATTATTTTCCTCATTAGAGTAGCTAATGCCATGTTCAGATATCATGGCAATCAAGCTTGCGATTTCTGGAAAAACTGGTTAGAAGGCTTAGTATTAAGTGTGTTTCCAACTGTGAAATTTATCCTTCTGAGCAATGCCTCCCAGTTTACTCACTTTGTTCCAGGATTCTCTGCAGCATATGGCCACTGGAACCCATTAAATAACACAAAGTAAGACAGGCAGCGATGAGTCAAAAATAGCTGCACTAGTGAATCGCCTTTCAAAATTCTGTCTCTAACAAGAAAAATAATGAAGAATAAGACATGCAATTAGAAGAAATTAAGGTCAATTTTCAAGCCGGGTTGCCTACATGGTGGTTTCAAAATCCACGTTAGGCACCTCAAATAAAAGCAGTCTGATTGAACACCTGCAGCTCTTGGCAATGCACTCGTGTATATAAGGCAGCCAGGCAATTCTTGCACTCAGAGTCTCTACCTCTTGATTATTTTCCCCAGTTCCTAAACATCCTAAAACTCTGGGTTCTAATCACTAGGTTTAACATGTTCCTTTTTCCTCCTAAGGAAGATACCCACTGCTTCCAGTGAAGGGCCATATGTGTGCCATATACTTGTTGGACAAGTCCCATTCACTCAGCATGAGAGTGAAGGCACTTTTTTCATTACAGGAGCTTGTTGCATTGTATTTGGCCAAACGCGTTGTTTCAATACACTTGGATTCCTTGCATCCAGCCTGAGTCATCTACAAGTTTGGTGTCCGCTCTAAGGCTTTTTCTAGAGGTTTTGTTACAGAGGCCAGTATATCTGCAAGGAGATGTCTCTTCTAGAGTGGCTGCCTGAGGCATTGAGATTATTTGTTCTTTGGAGGGACCCAGATCCCACAGCTGAAGCACCTTCTTCCGAGGGAGCTACAACAGTCAAGCTGAATCTCACCTCAGTGTTTCCATGGCTGGTGTCTCCTATCCCAGATGAGACACATAGCATTTTGCTAATATGAAAGGCAGAGGTAGACATCTCTGCTGCTATAAGAATATTACACTAGCAGTGGATCTGAGCTCAATGTATGGTTGTACTGACATGCTGCACGGCTGAGGGCAGCTTCCATTTGCAGCCACACCCTAACCAAACATTTATTTATTTCCTCTCATTTAAAATACGTCTAGTGCTCTCAATGGGTACACTTTGAAGGAGATACATGCAAGTTTCTGAATAAAGGGAATTCTATACTTGATGCATTTTCATAGAATCACAGAATGGTTTTGAAGCTTTGTAGTTATTATTATTTGGTTACGTTTGTATCCAACTCCCTTCATTCGCAAATAAAAAGATGCTTCATCTGGCTGTCCAAATAATATATTCAAACGAATTATACCAGAAAATAAACAACTGTGCTCTTCTGACCTGTGTTATGAACAATAAAAAGTTACCTAAAGGTCCAGAGAAGGTACATGCTGTGTTTTTCCCCTTATATCTAAGCATGTCTATGAATTTAATAGGCATATTCAGGTATTGTGCAGATAGGAATCCAGCCACATTTCTCCTAATTGATTCGAAATTATATGGACAGTAACGGTGCCAGAAGACAATTTAGTTTGCTCTTTCATACTGAGATGAAGTTGTTTGGTTTTCTTAAAAGAAATAAAACTGATAATTGTCACTACAGTAAGTAAATATGTCTGAATACATGCAGAAAGCAGATCTATTGGGTAAGAAGGTTACAGAATCTCATTTTGTGGTCCATCTGCTCCCTCTTTGCTTCCCAAGCCAACAGACACTAATCTGGGATGAAGAAACTGACAGGACATGGGGGAGGAGTAGATGGTCATGATTCCTGCATGTTTCAGCTTTTTTATATATATTTTCATGCCATTGTGATATAATAGAAGGAAAATAATGCAGTGGAGTCAGGGGGACAATTCCAACAATTATGCATTGCAGCAGCATTTTACTGCTCAAGATTTTCTCACATATTCAGTTCAATTTACAAGTTTTACCACTGAGATCTGAGCCTTCAAAATTAATGTTCGAGGGGAAAAAGATGCATTTCTGGAAAAGATTGTTAAGCAGATCATAAGCTGAAACAAACAGTAAAATTATCAGATTTAGTTAAGAAAAGTGTTCAGAGTCCTCCTGCTGGATTTTTTCCCTAATTTGCATCGATGTTGATGGTCTTGGAGAAAATGTGAACATCATCCTAGTAAAAATTTCTAGTAGCGATAGCATGAAATAAAAGTGGTTCAAGAGGATAAGAATTAAATAAAGAAGAGATAGTGATAAAATCAAAATTCAAAGCCGCAGACCATGAGTGCAAAACACAAAGCCGAAGTGGCAGTGCGGCTAATGAGGGATGAGAATGAGAGAGGGATGTGCTTTATGACTGTGCAGTAATCAAAAAAAGGGCCAATGGAGCTGTATTATGTCATCTCCATCTCTACACAGCTCAGTAACAACAGCACTGCCAGTTTTACTTCTAGTTCTGGTCACTTTGTCATCAGAAAGACCATAATGAATAGAAATAAATTTCTATGGAAGCAAAAAGGAGCAAAGTGAAGAAAAGAGATTAAAAAAGATAAATATGTATTGTTTGGTTTAACTATAATCAAGATGCAAGGCATGTACAAATAATTCAAGTGTTTGAACGCTTAATGAGAATGGGTAAGTTCTTGAACATAATAAAAGAGAAGCACCACTATAATTTTGGATAAGAACTACGAAGAAGTTACAAAAACCAAAGCTGTTGTCAGCAGGGAAGTGTGCCTAATGATTAAAGCACCTAATCCAAGATTTTAAAATAATTTCGACCACAAGATGTGAAGCACTGATGCAACAGAAGGTCCCTCTGCCAGGTGAAGGCTGTTCAAAATTTCTAAAATGGTAACTTTGGCCCAGATCAGAGGCTGTGGGTGTGCACAAAAATGACTTGACTTCCCTCAGCTAACCATGGATTTTGCATGGATTCCTTCTTATTCCCCATCCATTCCCACCCTTCCAAAGCCACCTGGCTGTTCCTTGGATGTGGTTACCCTCCCTTATGTGCAGGGCCATGATGATTCATTAGAGTAGCTTAACTTTAATGTATGAGCCAAGATGCACATTTGTCAGCTAGAGCATGGATCCAAGTCAGATCCTCTGGTCTGTGTGATGCCTTCAAATGGTCAGAGTTATCACCAAAAAGTCAGCCTAAGCTCTATCTTCTCACTCTCTTGTATTTTGGAAGCTGCTCTTGATGCATTCATCTTTTACAGAGGCTGTCAAAAATTCTCTGTTCCCAGGAGAAGACACAGGCCCTGACACAGGGCCTAATCTTTCCATGGCCTAAGGACTTTGTCCTTACAGGTTTACTCACTAGGATTAATGGCTATGAATCACATGATATTGATTTTGTAAGAGACAAGAATTTTACACAGCAAAGTCTATACATAATTACAGATCTTCCTCTGAACTTCATCTAATGCTTCAGGATTTATAAAAATCAAACTTAAACTTGAGATAACAGAAGAGATTCCCAGCACAGCAAGCTTTTCCAGACAAACCTGCCCAGAACTCTTTTCTTATGGTTTAATGTACTGCAGGCACAGTATGCAATCACGGAATAAGCATACGCTTGGCATGAGTCAAGATGTGCATTCATCAGCCTAGAACAGCATGGGTCCAAGTCACATCCTCTGGTCTGTGTGATGCCTTCAAATGGTCAGAGTCATCACCAAAAAGTCAGTCTAAGCTCTTCTCACTATCTTGTATTTTGGAAGCTGGTCTTTATGCATTTTTCTTTCACAGAGTCTGTCAAAAATTCTGTGCTCCCAAGAGTAAGAAGAAAACAACTTTCTCCTTCTACCTACACTGGATGAGAGATCCTTGGAACAAGTGGCAGGCCCTTTGTGATTAATAGTCCTTGACTGGATTATTTAATGAATATACTCTTGCTTTTTGACTGATGTTTATTGCCATACTATCGAAAGGAAAATGATTCTAACTATTCATTGCGTGAAACAGAGCTGCTTTTTGATTTGCTTGGAACGTGCCACTTGGTAATTTTTCTTGTTTGAAGCATCTTGGCATCCGCAGCCGAAGGCAGACAACTCAAGGACACAGCTGGTCCTACAGGCTCTAGAGAAACCCTGGGAACAAAACCAGAGCTACAGAGTTGAGAGAAGACTCCACAGAGTGAACGTGCAAAATCAGACTTGGCAGAGAAAGCCACCACAAGTGTGGAGCACAGCCAGGCTTCAGTGAGTGCCTCAGAGGAAAACGTAAGGGCCTTTGTCCAAAACATGAGTAGCAGAGGTCAGCTAATGAATAATACAGCAACAATACTTTCTCCTCATCTAAATCCCGTATCTAGCCTTTAGATCCCATCTCTTGATGCAGCTGGAAAGCCAATGCAAGTGAAGAATACTTTGACAACTCGTGTGTCCATCACCTGTGGGAAGAGAGGGCCAACAGCTCTGCTGGCTTTCACTTTGCAGTCACGGATGTTTGGTAGTGTAGCAGAGAAAGTTGTGCAATCACCAGCTTCCAGGTGGCCATGGCAGTGGTTCTGTTCCCTCTTTGCAAGGGAGTTCATCAGCTATGTATGTGGTCCTTGTCATCCTGCAGCTCTTGCACTGCTGCTAAGTCTTCACTGTGGCTGCTGGGCCCCCTGCCTCTCCCTCTCCTGCAGGATAGATAGTGAGGTGCTCTGTAATTTCAGATCCACCTGCAGTCTGGCTCTCCCTGTGCATGGTCTGGATGGCACAGGAGATGGTTACTGTGCCTGGAGACTCCAAGCA